CAAGGGAACATGAATCAAATATGCACTTTTATTCGTTTACAATAAACTCATAATGTACATCATTCTGATTGAAGCTAAGGGCATACAAAACTGTCCAATAGGGGTTTCCAAAATTATGAAGTGGTGGGAGATTCTAAGCTGTTAATAGGATTACTACAGACAAAAAGTTTGGGGGTGTGGACTTTTAGACAACAAATGAGGGAGATTTATTGTTTAGCCATGGAAGCTGGATTAATCTTTATTTGGACAAGGAGGTCAGTAAATAGTGTGGTTGATACTTTGGAAAAGCAGCTAATCAAAGGGAAAATCTTTTTTCTACTGTACTATAAATTTTAGGATAAATATGGGGTCAACACTCATGTTATGATGTAGTGATTTAAAAGGCACGCCTCAGGTGAGGTGCATTTTAGGGTAGGCGCCTTGCCCAGGTCCTAGGCGCACGCCTGGTGCGCCTTAGCCTAGGCGTGCGCCTTTTGAAAACTTGCCGCTTTTTCCTTTTTTTTCGAGTCTGGCCGCTGGGCCTAGGGCTCTGCCTTCGTTCGCTCACCGAAGCTTCAGGAATCACCTATTTGGTAATGTTGTCCAGTCATTCATCTTAATAAAATATCTTCTTAAATGCAATTAAAACTATAAAATTATTATTTTTTTGTGTGAAGTCTAAGAATTTATGACTCTAACATGGACTTGTTTGGGCTTGCTTCGAGGGGCATGGCACAAAGGCGGCTCGTAGAATTAGGAATGTAATATGTCACATTAGCTACTTGATGCAATTGAGAAAAAAAAGAGATTGTGGGTTTTATATGCTTGAAAATGTTTTATATGTTTGATTTCATTTTTAAATTCTCATTTGAATGTGCTTTACATATTATATTTATGTATTTTAATTTTAGATAATAGGTTTTTTAAAACATTTATTTTAAAACTTAAGTTTATATTTTTATTAATATTATGTTTTATAATTTTTTGATTTTTTTGAATTTTTAGCTTTTTTTTTTTTTAAATTGTGCGCCTTGCCTCAAAAAGGTGTGTGCCTCGCCTTGTGCCTTGTGCATTTAAAACACTGTTGTGATGATTGGCATTGTACTCCTTTACTAATTCCATGAAAGTTACTGTTTCCCATCAAAGAAAAAAAAATATAAAGCATCTGTTTCATTTTTTTGAAGATAAACAAAAAAGAAATTTTATTGCTAAAGCGAAAAAAAACATTACAACATAACTGGGTGTGTCGCCCCTCCAGATTACATCAATGAAAACCACAAAACAAAAAGAAAGCCCTTGCAGAAATAAAATACATCTCAGTACACCAATCAAGAATTCAGAGTAGACCAGAATTCAGCTCCAAAGTGTTTTTTCCGCAGTCCTTGAAACTCTGGAAGCAGTAGCACTCAGCCAATAACTGTTGAACTAATAACAACTACCACCTCTTTCATTCTTTTTTCTCTGCTGTAGTCGAAGGCTGAAACATGCTCATTCCAAAGAGAAAGAGAAAAAACTCCACATGAAATGGGCAATCCTGCAAGAGTAGAACAAGTGGAAGACTGTTTCCTCATCCGAACAACAAAGGTAACAGAAGCTTGCCATGCAGAAACCTCTACTGTTCAGGTGGTCTGAAGTTAAAATGCTATCCAAGGACACTAACCAGGCGAAAGCTTCCACTCTGGGGGGGATAGGGTTCCCTCACACTCCTACTCGATCAGAAACCAGCTGTTCCCTTATCAGTGCCATGTAGAAAGATTTAACAGTGAATCTTCCATTTTTGCACTCTTTCCACCACAGATTGTCCCTAGAAGAGAGAAATATTAGTTTGTTGCAGATTTTCTACCCATTTAATTTATATTAACAAATTTTTCTGTACATTGACCATTCTACCCCTTCTGCCAATATAAAAAATAAAAAACATAACCTCATTATAATTCAGCTTAATTAATAGGAAACTGCTTCTCAACAGGTTGGATTTGGATATACCCCTATTTGAATTTGTTTTAATCTGTTGGCAGCCCTCTATGATACCTAGATACCTGTACATGGGTGCTGTATTGTTTTGGATCAATTTTTTAGGTTAAATTCCATATCTGATACTGTTTTTAGCTGTGTCCTTGTTTTATCTGGATGATATAGACAGCCCTAGCATTGCCATATTATCTCTCAGCAATGCAAAAATATCTCTGACTTTGTTGTGGTAGACCATAACCTCTTATCATAGAGATAGTGTTGTTTGTTGACATAAATGAATAGTCACCTGCAAGTTTTTCAATATTTTTAGATGGTGTACATTATTGAGTAAAAATGGTTTCATAAACATTTTTACTGTTTGTCTGCCATGACGGTACAGCAATGGTGTTTAGCAAATGTGGTGTCTTTTGTTTTATGGTTTGCAAATCTTTCAGTACGGTTGTTTATCAAAACGAAAAAAATTCTTCAAGTGGTTTATTATCCCTAGAATTGATAGTGAACTTTGGCCTTGAAGAATAAAAAACCAGTATTGAACTTTGTGATGATATGCAGGTTGAGATTAATATTCATAAGTTCTTCACTGGGTATTCAGAGGGGCGAAGCCATTATAATTTATGGCCTGAGATGCTCAAGCTGAAAGACTGGCCTCCATCTAATTTCTTCGATGAACGCTTACCACGTCATGGTGCTGAGTTTGTCAGTGCTCTGCCTTTTCAGCAATATACACATCCAAAGCACGGCATACTTAATCTTGCCGTAAAATTGCCAAAGGATGTTCTGAAACCGGACCTGGGACCAAAGACATATATTGCTTATGGAATTGCTGAAGAACTAGGCCGTGGGGACTCTGTCACCAAGCTTCACTGTGACATGTCTGATGCGGTATGTTTAACTTGATAAAAATTTTGTCAGCCTACTTGCTTGTGCATGTTCACGAAGTCACTGACAGGCAGTACATAGTTCTGGAAATTTGTTATTGGCATGGAGTATCTAGATTATGTGCCACTTCCATGGAATGCACAGAAGTGTGGTTTAACTATATTGTGTCTTTACCCAAGGACTCTTGTGCTAGAAATTGGTCCGCATGTAATGATATCATTTGATCTATTATGCTCTGATTCTAGGTATAAAAATGTAGATACAACGCGTATTATTGTAGTGATCCATTCAATTAATCTGTCAAGAGAATCTCGCCAGGTCATTATTTATGAAGTGGATTCTTCAATGTCATCTTTGTGGGTAGGTTGTGCAGGTTTGCATGACTACAGTATCCTAGTTAAAAATTTACTGGATGAAAATACATAGTCATCATTTAATTATTCATGTCCAGGTGAGCAGGTAATGCCTAGGTGTTTTTCACTTCCAGGGGGTGCCAATGATAAGAAAAATGTAATTCCAGTAAATCAATGCAACTTCCCAACTGAGGGCTAGCATTAGTGTTGCATGGACTCTCTTAAGGCTGTGTTTGGTTTGATATTAAATAAGAGAAACATAAAGTTGAGGGAAAGTTATTAAGGCTGTATTTGGTAAGAGTGCAAATGCAGAACTGAAGTGAAGCACTCTGGTTCAGCTTTGCTGGTGTTTGGTAATAATATGTTCTGTATTGAAAACAAAACTATTTTACTGTTTTTGCATTTGAAATGTAAGCAAAGTTTGCTTTCAAAACTCAAAGTTGGTCAATGTGAAATAGGTTGGTTCCAGCCTTGGGATTTGTGTTTTAACCCTCACAACCAAACAAGACATTGTAAATTTATGAATTCAAAATTGAACAGGGTTTGCATCCTTCTAGTCGAACAAATGTGCATTTCTATCAGTGCATACACTTTTTGTACTCTTACCATACACAGCCAAGGAATTGCTTTTCCTTGCTTTTCTGTTTCTCTCATTTTCTAACAAACCAATCATAGCTGCAATTGTTGAGGAGCACTTTTATGTAATATTTTTCTTTTATTCCCTTATTTGACTTAAATGGACAATTATGGTACATTATAGCTGCAATTGTTCCTATAGAATGTGATTAACAAACCTAAACTACTAGACCTTTTCTATTTGTATAGGTTTCTATAATTCATAGTGTATCAAGTACTATAATTGTATGTATCCCCAGGTCCATTTTCTTTTATTTTTCCATGCATGCTTCTTTTTTTTTTGTGGTAGAAGTAGAACCATGCCTGCTTCCCAGACACACACTGATTCTGATTCTCATGCCTGTGTTTATTCAACACTAAGACACTTAAAAGAATTATACACTATGGCACTTCATTATTTTTAGACAAACACCCAATCACAGACTAACACACTTTAGATGTAGTACTTGTTTGGTTGTTCTACCTTTGTGGCTATTTTCACCCTAGCTCCATTTTCCATTTTGCCTTTTTATCTTTTTCCTATGAAACCTTGATCCTCTTTGACCACATGTGGCTTTATCATTTATGATGTATTCATCCTTGGTAACTGCCATGGGTGCATTACCTGCCAGGGGAACCAGCTAGGTGGTGTTGCAGTAGCATATATTTAGCTTATATGTGTAATAAGTGCCTAAGAAAAACAAAAGGCAGAATTTAAAAGTCATATGATGTGGTGTTTTTGATCACCTATAGCTTTGTTGGTTTTCCCCTTTTAACCTGGGCAACAGACATAGGCACATTACCTTTTAAGGGAATCAGGTGGGCGGTGGTGTATAATCCAGTGTTTTAAAGGGTGTGGGAGGTATATGACTGGAGGCGTGCCTCTAGGCAAGGCGCCCCCAAAATGCCCTGAGGTGTATGCTAGACACGTATGCCACATATGCCTCATGCACGTTTTTCATGATGAAGTGTGCCATCTCATGCACAGCTCATACAAAAAAGAGAGAAAGATAAAAAGAAAGAAAAAATAAAAGAAAGGAAAGGAAAAAAAAGGGAAGGGAAAGAAAAACAAAGAGAAGGAAAAAAAAAGAAAAGGGAATGGAAGGGAAGGAAAAAGAAGGGGAAGAAAGTTTGGGCCGGAGGTGGACCCCTGCTCCCCCTTGACTGGGGGGCTTTGCTTCGACAAGACCCCCCGCCCCCTTCAGCTAGTACTATGCATATTCACTTCTTAATATAAAAGAGTTCTATTAAAGTAAAGAAAAAAGAGATCCTCCTTCCTCTTCTTTTTCCTCCCCCTCCTCCTTTCCCCTCATCTCCCTCCTCTTATGGAGGCTTACACCTCTTTCGTTCTGAGCTACAATGCCTCATGCCTCTAGATAGTGGAACACCTTGCATCATGCCTCCACATTTTGAAACATTGGTATAATCATTCTAATCATTGTTTGACTATGGTTTTAACAAGGCAACACTTTGACAAATTCAAATGTGCTATAGTTCATTGGAGGAAACTACTTTATCATTAGATAAATTGATGTGAAAATGTATTGTTTATTTATTATTACTAGTTTCTGCACTATTATTTTATTGACATATTAGTTTCTTTTCTTGATTCATATGCAAAACAATTGGAATCTGATTCGTTTTGCAACAGGTTGAGTGTCTAATTTATTTCAACTTTATGGTCCTGTCTTGTTTTAAATTGTTGTGGTTATGGGCATCTACTGTCTTGTTTTAATATTTTCTCAGCTTAAATTTATAAATAGCCTCTAAATTTCTCAAGGAAAAAATAGTATATAAAAGATTTGTGCGAATGTATTAAATATTGGTTTTTTAGGTTATGGGCATTCATTTGCTAGCTGGGAAAGAAAAATTCTTTGTTCTTAATCTGCTACTTCATTGCACAGGTGAATGTTTTGACACATACTGCAGAAGTGGTTCTGACCCCTCGGCAACATGGTAGAATAGAAATGTTGAAAAAGAAGCACAGGGCCCAGGACCAGAAAGAACTAGCTGAAGTTGTGAGGATTGAGGAAAACAAAGAGAAATCTACTTCTGAGACAGCTGGCATTGAACAGTGCAGTGATGCACTTGATGAACAAAGAAGTTGTATTGGTGTTGATATGAAACACATTGTCAACATGAATGAAGTTCCAAAAGAAGATCAAAAGGCTGAAAATTTTGGTGTCAGGGGTGCAAGATCCCCCAATTTTGGTGCTATAATTGATGAAAATTCTGATTTAACTGATCAGCATGACTTAGAAAATGAGGGTACTAGGTTAAGTGACAAGCAGTTTTGTGAGGGAAAAAAGCAGGAATCGAGGAATCTCACACTCTCTCAGGGTTCCATGGTGGAAGCTACCATTTCCTATATTCTTCCAGAAGATGATAAGCCCTATGATAGCAGCATGGCTGTGGAGGAAAATAATATGCATGGGCTAGATGATGATGTAGCAGAAGATACTAAAAATATGAAGACAAGAAAATGTTTTGGCGGTAGAAAGAGGAAATCTAGGAAATTTCGTTCAGGTTTTTTTGGCAACAAGTCAAAAAACTTGGGCATTGAGGTTGGTTCTAGAGAACAGTCAAGTAGGGAGGATGCTGGTGATAATCAAGGACAAGATGAGGACAGGACACAGTTAGAGGGCAGTATGGTTTCATCTGATGCCGAAGTTTTAGCTAATGAAACACTTCCAGTTGATAAGTTGGAAGGAGAAAAGAACTCACCAAGGTTCACTGTGGAGGATGATGATGGAAGACATGACACATTTTCTGCAAACAAGTTGGAGGTGCTAAAATATGCCGAAGGTGGTGCTCTTTGGGACATTTTCCGGAGACAAGATGTTCCTAAGCTGGAGAAATATCTTAAGAAGCACTGCAGGGAATTCAGACACATACATTGTAATCAAGTAGAGAAGGTGAAAAAATTAGAGATTTAAGTTGTGTTTATGTGTTATTCAAGATTATAGTTAACTCCTCATGCATTTTTATTCTTTAGTCTATAAGAAATGGTGATATCTGTCTCTCAAAAATTTCTCTTTTGTTGTCCTAGGTTAAGGTAAAATTGCATCGGTTAAGTCCTTAAAGCCAATCTGGTGCACTAGTTCTGGCTTTTATAGAAGACCTTCATAATGTATTGATTCCTATGCTTGTCTGATCTATGGCTTGATATTATGTCTAAAGTAGTGGTTGTGTATATAGCCATGTGTATATGCTACCCATAGAATGATACAATTTAAAATGGGTCTTGTTTCCCTGTTGGGCACTTCAATTTCTTATGTAAATTTCATGTCCAGCAACTTGTCTCTGGCTATGCATTTGATCGTTGCTGGTTCTTCATATGTAATTACTTTCTTTATGGTTGACATCATCATATTTATCATTTTATTACAACTTATCTGTGCTAATTTGAGCCCAACCTTGTTTTCCCCTTTGGTGTAGGTTGTTCACCCCATTCATGACCAGAGTTTCTACTTGACTTCAGAACATAAAAGGAAACTCAAGGAGGAATTTGGTAAGTTTGTACTAGATGGTTGTTTAGATACTTTTGATTAACTTCTCCTTGTTCATTATTTATATTGTTGGTGTTTCTCATAGGTATTGAACCGTGGACATTTGTGCAAAAACTTGGAGAGGCAGTTTTTATTCCAGCTGGATGTCCTCATCAAGTTAGGAATCTCAAGGTATGCTAATTACCTGGTGTAAATTTATTTTCTTCCTTCCGCGGATATGGTCATTGTTTTGGTAATTAGAGAAAACAAGTAAATTACAATAAAAGTAAGGTAGAAAGCTGAGTGACAAGAAATCACTCAAGCATACAAAAGAAAAAGAAGACCCCCATCTACCCATCTATAATTTTTTTTTTATTAATAACAGAAACTTTTATTAAGAAGAAAAGATGATAGAAAATACAACAGGCAGGGAGGGGTAAAATCTCTTAACCCCCATCTATAATCCCAAAAGACCCCCATATTATCAACTCGAACAATCCCAAAACGAGATTCAACAATATTTTAGCTTTATAGACTTCTTCTACAAACCAGAGCCTCATCCACAACTCTTGACAGGATTCCAATATTGGATAAATTCCTCTCATAACAGCCAAGATAGAAAGAATGAAGCCTAATCCAATAATTGTACTAGATGTCCTTTTTACCCTTACCTCCTACCTTTTCCTCTTAACACTTTGTGCATAACCTCTTGGTACCTTGGATGATTAGACTATCCCTTCATATGCACTGGTTGCTTTCTTCTCAACTCTGCCTCTCATTGTCTTCGGAATACTCCAATCAATCTCATAATTCCCATCTTGAAATATTTCCATCATAGTGACCTCTGGCCTTCTATTTGCTAATGTTGTTTATTCATTCATCTTAATAAACGGTATTTTTAGAAGATAAATAAAATTATAAATTATTCTTTGTAGGGATTAAAAGTTTAAGACCCTAACACGAACTTGTCTGAGATTTCCTCAAGGGTCTTGGTACAAAGGCGGCTCATAGAATTAGGAATGAAAGAATATTTAAGGTGACATTAACTATTTGAAATAATGCAACCGGGAAAGAATTAAAGAAATTAATGTTTGACCATAGTTTTCAAGGTGCCAAGGTGAGACTAGGTGACAGGGGAGCGCCTTGGCGTTGCCTAGGTGATGGATTTTTTTAAGTAAAAATCACATATCCTAGGGGTAGTTCCCTAGGTTCCATAACCATCTTTCTTTAATAACTATCCATATTTTTCATAAGAAAATTATAAACTTCATGTTTAAGCCGAGGAAAAAATTAAGGCTTCTCCTCTCTAAATAACGTTTTGTCCTTGTGTTGCACCCCAACTTGAAAAAAATTATCAAAAAAAAAAAGCCTAGAAAATCAACATATTTCTGAGGAGAAAAAGAAGAAAGGAAAGAAAGTTCAAAAAAGATACTGATAAAAAAACTAAAAAAATATAGAGGCTGAACCCCTTATTTTTGTTGTAGGAAAAGAAGATTTTAAGTTCTTCCCTTATAGGAAAAGAAGAAGAATAAAAAGAAATTAGTTTATTAGTTTAAAATTATAGTCTAAAAAAAATAACAATATAAAACATATTCAAAGTGAAATACTTTTTCTGTTTTTGGATGAGGTGAGTCTCTCACACCATTCCCTGGGTTGCTTGTATTGCTGTATATATTGGTTTTCTAATAAAATTACATTTACTTGTAAAAAAAGATAACTAAACATAAGTTGGTGGCTAGGAAAGCCCTGGTGATTCTTGTGAAATTGGAAATGCCAAAGTGATCCGTCTTATGATTAGGAAGACGAGGAGACAATGGATTGGAAACATGATAAGGTGTAGCATCAACCATTAGAAACATTGATCATAGCTGACTAAGAAGCCTGCCTTTTGATTTGACACACTTGTGCAGCTAGGTGGGTGCCTTGGTATTTGATTGGTGCCATATTAACTTATATTGTGGTGTCTTATGTAGTTGATACTTTTACAACCATGAGTTTAACATTTTTTGAGTAGCAGAAGATGTTGCTGGAATGGGTGTGGGACAAGGTTGTGCTAGAGGTGTACGCCTCATGCACATCTTTATCAAAAGACAAAAAAAAGAAAAGAAAAAAAGAGGAAATGAAAGGAAAGGAAAAGAAAGGGAAGGGAAAGAAAAAGAAACAGAAGAAAAAAAAGAGAAAAGAAAAGGAAAGGGAAGGGAAGTAAAGATAAGGGGAAAGAAAGTGGTTTGCCCCCTGCCCCTTCGGCTGGGGGGCTTCGCCACCCAGACCCCCCCTTTCAACTAATTTTATGCATCTTTATTCTTCTTAGTATAAAAGATTTTAATTAAAAATAAAGAAAAAATGTGATCCCTTCTTACTCTTCATCCTCCTCCTAAATCCCCTCCTCTTAAGGAGGCTTACGCCTCCGCGTTTTAAAACATTGGTGGTGATTATTGTAGTGGAAGTAATTAAAATCTTGGGATTGTGTTTTGATGGTGGGGAGGAATTTGCAAGAAACTTTCAAGAATCTAGAAGAAAATTTTCATTTGAAGTATGGGGAGAAGGTGGATCTAGACACTAATTTGGTTAACTCTTTTCCAAATCTTTATGGTATTCAGTGTAGTTTGTTCTAGTGATTTAAAAGGCATGCCTAGGCGCACATGCGAGGTGCATTTTAAGGTATGTGCCTTGCCTAGGCCCCGGACACAATACTTTCAAAGGGAATGTGCCTAGTGTGCCTTGCATTTCAGCCCATGCATGCATCTTTTTTATTTTTTGTGCGTTTTGTTCTTTTTTCAACCTAGCAGCTGGGTCAGGGGTTCCCCCTCGACCAACCCCTTTAGGCAAGCCCAAGCAAATTCATGATAGGGTTTTAAATTCTTAACCCCTACAGGAAAAAACATTTTATAATTGTAATTGCCTTCTAAGAACCCCCGATTTGGTAATGCTGTTCATTCATTCATCCTAATAAAATATCTTCTTAAAAGGCAAAGATGGCTAGTAGAATCAGGAATGAAAGATGTTTAACATCATATTAGTTATTTGAAATAATGCAATTGGGAAAGAAATAAAGAAATTGAAATTTTGGCATGCTTGAATATGTTTTATATGTTTGGTTTTATCTTTAAATTTTCATTTGAATATGGTTTACATGTTATGTTTATGTATTTGAGTTTTAGATAATAAGTTTTTTTAAATCATTTATTTTAAAATGTAAATTTAAATTTGTAATTAATATTTTGTTTAAGTTTTTTGAAAAAAATGCATTTTGTGCCTTGCTTCGAAAAGCTGCAAACCTTGCCTTGCGCCTTGCACCTAAGATGCAAATTGCCCTTTGCACTTTTAAAATATTGGTTTGTTCCCAATTATTCCACAATGGAATGTTAATGTCTTAGGGAGGAGCTGAAGTTGCTTACTAGACCTAGATGGAATCAATGATTATCACAACATTTAGAAGGATGTGGAGAATATTTTTCAAAGGTGGTTAAACATTTCAGAAACAGGAACAATCATTTCCTTGTCCAAGTTTCTGAAGAAAGTTAAGAAAGCCAATAAGAGCAATCATGAAACTTGGTTTTGAAGTTGTAGAAGCTTGTCTTTCGTATATGTTTTTAAGTGTCTTTATTTTATGTTATTTATTTTGAGTCTTTGTAGTTTGATGGTTTTTCTTGATAGGTTGTTGTGAATGCTTAAGCGTTGTTTTATTGGTGTGGGTTAGGTTTGTTGAATCTGAAATTTTGTCTTTTTCTTTTTTTCCTTTGGGTGACTGCTGGTCACCTTCCTTCTCTCTTGAATCTTTTGTTTTTAATATATTCTTTTATTTTTTACCCAAAAAAGTTGGTCTTATTTTTTGGTTGTTGTGAGGTTTTACTTTTATTTTTTAGGCCCCATATGCTATGCTTTATCATGGGAGATGGGCTCCTTTTTTGTTGTTTAATGGCTTTCTTATAATGTTGATTTGCACAGGTGATTCCTTTGTTGTGCTTTCCTTCTTTTCCATCTGTTTTCCTCTTCTAGCTAAATGCCCATATGTTTCTTGTTTGGCTCGTCTTTAGTGAAAAATTATTTTAGATTAAAATATACACATAAGTACTAATACTAGAGGATAATAATGAAATATTGAAATAAGTTATTCAAAGGAAAAATGTTGAAAATTCAGAGTGCAAACAAGAAATGTGTATCAAACTCTCACTTCCATATCATGCGGTGAAAAGAAATCTATATATTCTGTACAGTATGCAAATTGTTCTTGAATGTCTTTATTTTATTTTTATCTCAACTTCTTATCATGAGCTTTTTTTTTTTTAAATTTTTTATGCCATTCTAGTCATGTATAAAGGTTGCTCTGGACTTTGTTTCACCTGAAAATGTCCATGAATGCATCCGTTTGACGGAGGAGTTCCGTACACTTCCTCAGAATCACAGGGCAAAAGAAGACAAGCTTGAGGTAATGCATCCTATGTTTTCCAATATTCTATGTACAATTTGTCCTTCAATGTTTTTGTTCTTAACTTCTTATGTATGCAGTGTAATGCATTTCTTTAAAATGATTACTTTATAAGTTGTGACTTATTGGCATGATATTATCGAAAATTGCAGAATATGGTTATATGCTTTTCTTTTCAAGGTGCCTAGGCAAGGTTAAGGGCTCCTAGGCGCTTGGGTGACACCTAGGCAATGGAATTTATAAATATAAAGTTCATAGATTTTTACATTTTCTAACCTCTTTTATAAATTATGTATGCTAACCAGCAATTCATTGCACTAATTACCATAAAAAATCTTTTCAATAAGTGTAAGCTTAAACTAAGATTTCAATAAAAGAAATAAGCAATTAAGCAACTAGGTACTAATACTAGCTAAGGCCAACTAGCAAGTCTATCATGGCAACTACGCTAAAAAACTAATAATTTAATTTCATCAATTCATACCTTTTGGATAGTTGTCGAGTGTTGACCTTGAGTATCATTTTCATATAACTTTGCCTTTAACAAGAAAATATTAAAAGATCAATAATAATTCAACTTTGGCCTTACAAAATGGAAGGAACACTACTACAAAGCATAGTTGTCAAGGCGACGGCTAGGTGGGTGCCTAGGCGACAAGGCACCCTTTGAGGCTCGCCTCGCGTAATTGCCAAGCAGTTTTGTACTTATTATAAAATGGTTTTTTATTCTTTATTTTTTGACATTATAATAATAAAATAGACTTTACTAAACTAAAATATTCAGTTTGTGTGTTTATTATACTAATTTCTTTTTATTATTTTTCTTATTTGTTAGGGTTTAATCAATACAAACATTGCTTAATGCTGTATTGAACCCTCAAAGACTTCAAAACCTGAACCGATAAGTAAGGAAGAACTTAGAATTTTGTCTAATCAACACATTTTCTTCTTCTTCTTCTTCTTCCTGTACTACTACTACTTTTTTCTAATCAACACATTTTCTTCTTCTTCTTCTTCAGCCCCTATATTTTTAATTTGTTCCTTCTTTTTCTTCTCATGAATATGTTGCTTTTCTATGCTTCAACATGAACTCTGTACTTTTCTGATGAAAATTATGAATAATTATTAAGGAAATATGGTTATGGTACCTATGGAACTATCCTAAGATCTATGTTTTCTACATAAAAAAATCCATCGCCTAGGTGTCGCCCAGGCGCCCTCTTGTCGCCTAGCCTCCCATGGTGCCTTGAAAACTATGCTACAGAGGATAAAAATTTTCACGAGAATTCAATTTCAATCCTTTAGGCTGTGTTTGGTTTGAAGGAAAAAGTAGGGAAAGGAAGGGAAATGCAGGGAAACCTTTACAAACCTTGTATAGGTTTCCTTACATTTCCCTTCCTTTCCCTACTTTTTCCTTCAAACCAAACATAGCCTTAATGGTTCAAGCACATGCCTTGGCTGATATTTGATAGTTTATGTATGAACCATGAACCAATAAGATTGTACCCATAACGAGAGAAAATGAAAAATTAGTTATAGAAATGACGATACTAACTCATCTATTTATCTAAATTTAGAAGCATATTATGAAAAAGATGTAAATGATCTTTTTTGTGGGGTTTGGACACCTGTGTCCTCTTTGTTTCCGTCACAACTTCTGGTTGTACTGTTTCTGTAAGGAGATGGAGATGGAGATGGAGAAAGGAAGTGAAAACAAGGACAGCTTCTAATCAGTGGGGAGAAGGAGAAAGGAAGTTTCCATTGAATTGAAGCTGTTTAAGTTTGAGGAAGTGAAAACAAGGAGTCTGTTCTTGCTGAAGATTAGAGAGGAGAAGAGAGCTTCTGTGTACTTATGGAAGGATGTAGTAGCTTGTCTGAAAGGTTTTCTGGATGTAGCCTTAGTCTTGAGGAAGCCCTAGAACCGGAAAAATGTGTTGAAGTTGAATGGTAAGGTATTTGAAGCAGGACTACGTTCCAATAGGAAAGGGCATCATAGTCACAGAATGGTTTGGTTTGGGCAGAAAACAGATGATATGTATTCCCATTGGGAAACATAGTATGGGTTGGATCATGTTTGTGGAAGAGTTGCGGGAGTTCCTATGGGGAAACGAAGAGCGTACAACGGAATCCCATGCTAACCATCATTTCGCAAGCCAATCGAAGACAAACGTTGGAAAGGAAGTAGAAGGAAGTGGCTGTCAAAGCTTTAAGGAATGGCGTGAAAAATTTGTGGATTATGCAAGCAAAAAATTATCCATGTGGAGGTATGTAGCAAAGGAACTAAAACGAAAGTTGAAATTTGAGATCCATTCATTCTTTGGCCTTTCCAAGAAGATAACGCTTTGTTAGAGGTAGGTAAGCTTATGGAAGAGATTCATTCACTCCCCATTCAAACATCTGAAGGAGTAATGGTGATTAGCCAGTGGAGTCCAAGTATAAATCGCATAGATCGCATAGAAATTTTCCGCTTAAAAGTTGTAGGGCTACCTTTCCATTTATGGTCCCCTGAAATTTTCAAGCAAATCGCAGTCCTGTGCGGAGGAGTTTTGGAAGAGCTGTATACTTCGAACCTCAGTGCGACCTCGATGAGTCTGAGAGGGATTAATGCGGAAGAACAATGGCGCTTAAAATAGGCGAAACACAAACCGCGATTTGGTTTGTTGTCGTCAGTGGAGAGACTATGGAGAAACCTGCGGGAGGTAGAATACAATGACGTAGCAAGGGTCAAAGAAGGGGATGGAGTGAAGGAGAAGCTTGATTGCCCTTGCAAAGGAAGGGAAGCTGAATGGTCAACTTATTTGAAGGATGTCAGCCAGATTACTAAAGATGTTTGAGAATCTCGATCGACCGTTAATGAATGTGTGGTCAATAAGAAGAGTTATGCTGACGTGACCATGGTTCAAAGTATCGATACGATACGCCCCATATCGGGCGTATCGTATCATATCTTTTGAAAAAGATACGGTCTGAAACGCCTTTTTCCAGGTGTTTCGGACTCCCAATTTTTTTTAATAATAAAAAGCATGCTAAAAGCTTCCCAAAAAACCAAAATTTGAAAAAAAAAACTAAAAAAAAAGAGTTTCGGCCGTTTCTAACTACCAATACGATACGACCGAAACTTGTATCGTATCGATACTTTGAACCTTAGACGTGACAACTGAAAGAGGCAGCAAGAGGACAACATAGTTTAAATTTGCACCAAGTCTTAAACTAGTGGTTGGACCAAGTAACACATGCAATTGTGATCCAAACTTAATACCGACTATGTAACGTGACCACTCAATAACTCTAATCCTACTTATGCAATGACTTTGAAATTCTAAACATATACAAACTATAAATAGACAATCAAACCCTGTTATTGGACCCTACATAAAAATTATAAAATGGCAAAAATACCCTTGGCGTTTAATTTACTCCAAATCCCAAGTACCATATAAGAACCTGTTATAAGGAGGCCTTCTTCTTTCTATAATAAGTCTTCAAGGGTGCTAATTGATTCCTATCACCCGAACAATCCATTTTCATGCATTTGGTGACTGTAACAATCAACCCAACATTGTCACAGCCCCTTTGGCCCAAGGAAGACCACCCATATTTTTCCCAATTGAGGGGAGTGCTCACTGAATTTGTTGTGGTGTTCCTGGAGCCACCAGGTTTTCCACCTAGGCAAGTACATGCTCACCGGATTCCCCTCTTGCCCATGACTGCCCCCACTAATGTCCGGTTGTAATGTTATCCCCACGACCATAAATAGGAAATTCGGAGAATGGTTGAGGGATTACTCGCCAAGAAGTTGATACAGCCCAGCTATAGCCCTTTCTCCTCTCCCGTGCTACTAGTTAAAAAGAGAGTGAACTTGGCAGTTCTACGTGGATTATTGGGCCTTGAATCATGTCACTATCAAGGATCAGTGGTAGTGATATTGGTACCTTTCTGGGCCCTATCAGTCCTCAGATGGGATGACGCCCTTCAGGGCCCTATATGGTCAAGATACCCCTGTCTTGCCATTCAAAAAGGGGTCAACGATGGTAGCAACGCCCAAAGAATACTTGCTCCAACAGGATGCTATTCTGCAAGAACTGAAGTCAAATTTACTGAGATCCCAACAATTATTGAAAAGATTTTATTCTTTTAAGCACAAGCCTATTGAATTTCAGGTCATGAATCCGGTATTCCTCAAACTTCATCTGTATCATCAGGTTACTGTAGCCAGAAGGGCTTGGAACAAGCTGTCTCTGAAATAATTTGGGCCCTTAAAAGTACTGGAGCGTATTGGACAGGTTGCATATTGATTGGATCTCCCTCATCGAAAATACATCTAGTGTTGCATGGTTCTCTCTTGAAATGTTGCCTGAAGCTGGGGGCTATCTCCTGCCCCTCACTGATGAAGGCTCCTCAGTGATCGAGCCACTACACATTTTATACTTTTGTTGTGTTAGAACTAGAAGAGGGGGACATGTCATCCCAGAAGCACTAGTGATTTGGAAGCCCCTACCAGCAGAAGATGCCACTTGCGGACATGGTCCCTATCTAGAAGCACTAGTGATTTGGAATAATTGGAAGCACCTAATCTCAAGCTGCAAGAGGAGTTTCCCCATTTAGACCTTGAGGACAAGATCCATCTGAAGATTGGGGGAGCTGTTAGGACCCATAGCAGGCCCACAACTACAGCTACAAGCCATTCACCTATCACGCGCAATTTGCCCACCATTAAACAGGTCTACTATCGCAGGGCACATGTGCCATCTTCCTAGGAATGATTTAAGGCATATGATAGAAAATCCTATGTAACATCCTAAGCAGAGAACATGCAACTACTTGAGCAGAGTCTATAAGCACTTACCGGCCATGTAATAAGGGATATCAGAAAAACCCTTTTCAATTCATCATTTTCTCCTCTTCTCTGGAGGTCAGTTCCTCTCGAAGGAACCCTTTCATAGGAAGAACCTATCACTATCAGAATTGCCTAGGTGCCCACCTAGGCATTGCCTTGGCAAGTACGGTTATATGATGAGGTTCCCATGGTTCATTTAGTGCTTTTATGGCTTCTGGATGGTCCATGTCTTGATGGTTGTGTATTGGACATGACTTAACAGTGCTAATGAGCATTGATAGGTTGCCTAGTCTTTGCCATTTATTTCTTCAAATAGGATCATCTGATTGGGTTGCTTTCTTCTTTCGTATAGCTTCCTTGGTTTAGTGGTATACAAAATTTGTATTGTGTTAAAATAATTTGAAAATTCAGTTGCAAACTGTGCCAGTGCTAGCTAGAATCATGATGGGTAACATAGATGCTTTGGCCCTCATGTTGTGGTAACCCATTTCTGAATATGCGTTCTGTGGAACAGGTAAAGAGAATGACTCTCCATGCAATAAGGAAAACAGTGGAAGATTTGGAGCAGCTTACAAAGTAAGTAATTTCAAATGTCAAGCATATATGAAAACATTAAATAAGCATTGCCCTGCTTTATTGTTCTCTGATCTCTCACTGTAGTTTTGTTGTAATTTATGTTGCTACCATTGTTCATACCCAAGTGGCTACTTGCGATGGATCGCAATGGCATGACCCTTTTTCAGCATAGGTCTAGATTGCTTCCTTTGTTTATTAATAAAACAGAAAGAATGAGAGAAAAAGAGAAGAGAGAATGGATAATCTGCTTATGAGGGAAACAAAAGATTAAAATCTCTCCTAGCAGTTGGCCTATATATACGTTCACTAATTAAAGTGGTTTACAATCATGCCCCGGTTTAATGAAAATTGCCTGGACTGGAATAATGTCCTTATAAGGAGAAGGGAAATGGCCAAACTGCCCTTCTTCCCAAACACTTATAATATTACCCAAAATGCTTAGAATTTCTCTCAATACTGCCCCTCGAGCTAGAGCATATATATTATGCAACTCCAGCTTCTTACAAATATAATCTGAGCTTGACTCAAACTCTTGGTTAACAAATCAGGCAACTGGTTGTGTGATTTTGCATATGGTGTTGTAATATCTCCACTATCTTCTCCCTCAGAAAATGACTGTCCACTTTAATATGCTTTGTTCTTCATGGAAAAGTAGATTGGAAGCAATATGCATTGCAGCTTATCACAAAACAGATATGAGTGGTATAGTTGCTCTTATCTTTATGGAGTGCAATAGACGGATCTAAGTGGGAGTAGGATTTGGCAATGGAGGGCAACAATGAAGTCTCAGAGGTGTGTCAATATTAGGAAGGAAGTGTGTGAACTCGAAGAAGGAAGACGATAAAAAATGTTTGCATAACATGTGACTCTAACCTTATATCATTTTTTGAGTATGGGAGTATTCAAGAAAAATGCCTTTTTTTGTTCAACAAGAAGAAATTTATTAAAAATAACTAGAAGGTTAGATCAAGGTGGGATTATCCTCCACCCCAACCAAAAAAAAGTTTACAATTTTGCCCAAAACATTTGTTGTCTGAAAGCCCATTGTTTAGCTAGAGTATCCAGTTACCTATTTGCTGTTCTTCTTACCCATAACAGTTGGCTCCCTAGTTATGCTTTCAATTTTCCGAAAATTGTGTCTATAGATCCATGGGATTTGTGTATTGCATTGTCTAGGATATGACTACTTGAGAATCCCCTTCCACCTCGAGTTATTGGATCCCAAATTTCTTTGCAAACTTTAGTCCATGGAGTAAGGTCTACAGTTCTGTCGTCAATGAATCACCATGCTCAATAGTTCCTGATTATAAAAAGCTTGCACCTGCTCTCTGAATCACGAAAGACCCCTCCTAACCCGACCAAACCATGATTGCTTATAAAACATCCATCAAAGTTAACTTTTATAGAGTTGGTATCCGGAGGTTCCATGATTGTTCTTTCCTTTTCTAGATCCAAAAGTGCCACTTCCTTCCAAGTTCTCGAAATGCCATTCAGTGAAAAGTCTTGAAGGCTCCGAAAGTCTTCACCTAGTGTGCAACTTTTATTTTTATTGTGTCAATGACTTCCTGTATGGTCCAAATCAAAGCTGCCCTTACTGTTATCCCTATTATCTTTCTTATTTTCTTTAGTTGTCTGAGGAAGTTTGGATCAATGAATCCCACCTCCTTTTGAGGGGGAATCTTCAATCTCCAACGCTCTTTTCTTTCCTCCTCATTAATCTCTTAGGGTTTCTTTTTTGTCCAATTCTTCCATCTTAGGAGAAAATCTTTTTTGGGCTTGTTCTAGTCTTTGAAAATGGTCATTATTCTAAGCTTTAATCTTTTGTTTTAGAGCTTTTAGATTCCTTATAAACCTAGTATCCTCGTATCTAGTCCCTGATCTTTCCTCACCCCACTAGGAATTTATTCTTTCTTTGAAAGATGTGTCCTCAAGCCATATATTCTCGAATCAGAAAGGTTAGGAACCACAACATCTCTTGGGTTAAACAAATAAAGCAGTGGTCTAATGTTACCCTTGGTAGGGCCCTTGCTGTTAAGTTTTGTCACAATCTTCCCATTCTAACGAAAAGAGAAACCTATCAAGTTTTGAGTAGATTGGGTTGGCTTAAAAGTTTGACCAAGTAAAATCAGCTTGTAGAAAGGGTGGTTCCTTTCACTTAAAGGACTCAATTTCGTTATTAAAATTTCTCTTGCTTAAGGTAAGGCCCTAACACCAAGGCCCCTCCCACAAACCTCTAAGTGCACTCAACTCTTCCCAAAGTTGGTCTCCATGTCTATAAGAATTAGGACCATAAATATTGGTTAAGAGTCTTAAGACCCACTCCCTCCCATCATTAACTCTTTTGATTTTGATTGAGATTGAGTAGTTTTTGATGAGTTCCTCTAGGCATTCCATTTCTTCATTTGTCTAGATAATTCCTAATCCCCCTGAAGCATCCCAAGATTGTGCAAAAGCCCGACATAGACCTCTAGATTGCCAACTTGTAACCCACCTTCTATCTCTTATAATTTAGTCTCTTGAATCAAGAATACGTCTGGCTTCTATTTCCATAGTACACTCTTAACCAACCTTCTCTTTTTTGCACTCCCTAAACCTTGCAGGTTCTAACTAATGATCTTCATCTTGGAAATTAAAATCTGGCCCTAGCAAGGTCTCTTGTCCTAGACCACTTAGTAACCAAACCTTCTCAGTAACCAAATAACCAATTTCTCCACTTCACTCTTTCTCATTTTTTTCTTCATCCTTTCCTATTCTTGAATACACTTTCGCATTCGAGGGAATTTTCCAGGCATCCTCTCATTGGGTCTGCCCCTTCCCTTTTTCCAGTTCTAGGGCCTTCCAATCTTCGAGGAAAATACATTTAATAGCTCCAATATCGAGTTTATCAAGTCTAGGTCCTTGTTTAGGGACAAAACAAACACATCCAAAGATAAAGGACAGAGGATGTGGGGAAGTGGAAGGGAAAAATACAGAAAATGTTGATACCATGAAGTATAGAATAAGGCATTTGTTTTATTAGGAAACAAGAGGTAAGAACATCATCACTCCAGTCTGACTTGGACATATACATTTGAAAAAGAAGAGATTTTATAACTTCCAAAAGGTGATGATTTTTTTGTTCAATTACCCCATTTTATTGTGGGGAATAAGAGGAAGTGGTATGGTGAATAATGTCATGTTGGTTGAGGACCTTGAGTATGATTGAAATGCACCTTGCATATTATTCTTGAGCGTTATTTGAGCGAAATATTTTAGTAGAAACAGCAAATTGATTCTTTATTTTTGCATGAATGGTTTGAGGAACTGAAGGTATGGAGGGTAGTTTCATGGAGGTAGGGTGGTGGAGAAGAAGTTTGAAGGTTGAAGCTAAGGATTTCTTGTTCGAGGAAGTTGGAGTCCGAGGTAAGATGAGCTTAAAGACAAGTGAAGGGCGGAGGGCAATGGTTCTGGTGACTAGGGTAGAAGTAGTGGAATGGTTCAGGAGTTTTGTGGAAGAAGCAAGTTTAAAAGGCAAGCAAAGCAACAAACAAGAGGTTGAAACAAAGGAAGGTATGACCTATATGGTCAAAAGCAGGAAGAATACTAAGGGATGTTATCTAACTTTGATTGAGTTCTTTGGAAAAGGAAAGAAATAGATGTTATGCTTCCCGTGAAGAAGACAGAGTCAAGACTGGAAGGATGTTAGCATGTTACTTGAGGAGTTGTTATGTCGTGGGGGAACAACTACAAAGGAGAGTCGAGTGGAGCCTATGGTTATAGTGGAAGCCAACATACAATGTAGATTGTTGGATTACTTGAGGAAGGAATGCTTCCATAGAATCGATTGAGAGTAGCAGAAATCAGGTTTCAAGAAGAGAGAAGAGGAAGAAGAAGCAAAACAGTAGCAAGTCTGTGAAGATGGGAGAATTTGTGGAGGTAGGCCGTTGGAAAAAAGCTTTGAAGATTGAATCTAAGGAGCTCCTATTTGAGGAACTGAGATTAAATGGTCAGCTGAGCTTGAAATCAGGGAAGCAAAGAGAGGGATGGTGTTGTTAGAAGGTTTGGGGGTAATTGAAGGGTTCAAGGAGTTTGTAGAAGGTGCAAGTAACAAAGGAAAACAAAATAGTTGGAAAGAGATTCTCTCAGAAACTGGAATTAGGTTTGTTGTAGAGTGTAAGACAAACCTTAAAGGTTATTTTATTTCTTTGATAGAATTTTTTGGCAAGGGTAGAAAGCAGATGGTCTGCTTCCCAGAAGGAAGGAAGAGTCAGGGCTGGAAGGCAGTTCATGGCGCCTGATGTGAACTGCTGCAATGCTTGGGTGCTAAAAGAGAAGTAACAGTAAAAAGGAAGATAAGCAGTTCTAATAGTATGGTGAGCAATAATAAGCAAGAGACTCTTTTAGTGATAGCTGGGGCAGGTAAATACAGAGTGGGAGTAAACATACAGAGAGGTGATTGGGAAAGTAAACTGATAGTTAAAGCTTCAGCTCACATTCTAGACTGGAGGAAAGTTGCAGATCTGTTAACAGCAAGTTTAAAGTTGATGAGCACATTTATTTTAACACCTTTTGAGATGGACAAGGCTTTGCTGGATCTGCTTGAGAATAGAGTAGAAGTTGAGGCTTTAAATATCCAAGCTAAACTTGGAAACTTCACAGTATCAAGATGGTGTCCGGGATCAAACTCCAAAGGTTTCTTTGTTGAAGATGGAGTGCTGGTGCGTCTCTTAGGTCTTCCCTATCACTTGTGGAAGCAAGAAACTGCTGAAGCCATTGCTTTGATGTGTGGAGGATCACTAGGAGGTACTTTTTGGGGAGACCTTTGTTCAGCTTCCATTTTATTGAATGGAGTAAAACCTGAGGAGATTCCTCGGAAGATAGAGGTGCTAGTTGAAGGACAATGCTACTCAGTGTGGCTGGCTTCATCCATTGAATTGGTGCTCTGGAAAGAGGCTCGTAGGGAGGGAGATGAGAAGGTTGAAGAAGAAGAACTGTGTGGCAAGAAAGGGTTGGAGGATTCA